AATGCTTCAGTACCTGCTAAACCAATTCTCAGGTAAAACCAGTAACAATACACTTTTGCACACAGTGAACTTAAATGTATGCTAACTGTGCTATATGTGAGAAGAGGTTAAAATAAAAAAAGGTAAGAAAACTGACTTCATCAACCTTCACTTAAAAAGTGACCGATAAGGAGAGTAGTCCTAGGTTAAACTAAGGAGAGTAGTCCTAGGTTAAACTAAAACTCAGCTTTAAAATACACGTACAAGTGTCGCATCTTGGGAGCTATGACATTTGTTCAGGTTCACTGTATTCCTCCACCAAAAATGATGTCAGAGGGCCAGGGTCCAGAAATGATGTTCTACTTGGAGCACACATCCTCAGTGCAGCAGACTTAAAAGACTTACTTTAGATGGGAAATTTGCATTGATAAGCATAGCCCCCCAAAAAGTTTTTTTTTTAATTTCAGTAATAATTAATTTTATTTAACCAAATGTATCCAAAATATTGTAATTTCAACATGTACATATAAAATTAGCTACTTTACTTTTTTTTTTTTTACAAATAGTTTATTGTCAAATTAGTTTCCACATAACACCCAGTGCTCATCCCCACAAGTGTCCTCCTCCATGCCCATCCCTCCTCCCCCCCACATCCATCAGTCCTCAGTTTTTGTCAGCATTCAAGAGTCTCTCATGGTTTGCCTCTCTCCCTTCCCCCCCCCCATTTCCGCCCTTCTTCTCCCCCTTGGTCCTCCGTCAAGTTCCTCCTAATGCTCCTATACGTGCAAACACATGATATTTGTCCTTCTCTGCCTGACTTATTTCGCTCAGCATAACACCCTCAAGGTCCAACCATGTTGCTACACATGGCCAGATTTCATTGTTTCTCATTGCCATGGAGTATTCCATGGTATAGATAAACCACATCTTCTTGATCCATTCATCTGTTGATGGACACTTAGGCTCTTTCCATGTTTTAGCTATTGTGGAGAGTGCTGCTATGAACATTGGGGTACATGTGCTCCTATGCATCAGCATTTCTGTATCCCTCCCCCAAAAAGTTTTTTGAACTTGTGTTTGAAGCAATGGCTGTATGGTACCTGGGCGCGGCTAAGTGCTTGCATGTTTGAGCTGAGCATCACAGAAGTTGAAACTGCTAAGTATCCTCTTTCTCAGAGGCTGCACAGTTCCTCTGTAAAACTAATTTAAATGGCCTCAAGATAATACAACCCAAGTATGAGAAAGCTGGCCTCTGCTTTGTTCCAGACAATTCTGCTTAGAGGAAGATAACGATCCAGAACCAGCCAGGATAAGGGCAAGAGGCTGGCAATGCTCCCAGCTTCTGAACATAACTGATCAGTCATCCTACCCCACCCCGCCCTGCCCTATCCCTGGTTTGATACAAGTTAGAATCTTAGTTTCAATCTTGGTTTCTGAAGTTTCTGAGCCAAAAACCACTCCTGCCACCCCAATACACACATTTCTGATACCAAAAGGTGAAAAATACAAATCCAAAAGGCAAAGAGATGGTATATGGACAGCAGTCAGCACAGGAAGGATTCACTGAACAACAGAAGGTCCGGATCTGGAAGCAGGAGAGGGTGGACGTAGAAACGGTCATGAAATCCACGCTGGCACAGTGGAGTGGCACAAGATCCTTGACCCAGTCCTGCAAGTACAGCTGTGCAGGTCCCACATCAACACGTGCAGCAGCCCTGACCTAGACACCCAGGCAAAGTACGCCCCCACCTCCTCCACCTGGCACCCGACTTTGTACAGCCCGCGTCAGTAGGAATGAAGGTGGCAGTTAGTATCTGAGATCCTACTCAAAAATCAAGCCCGTGAAAGTGGAAGAGAAACATACATCTTCCCAAAGGAAACGGAGGACAAATTCAAGGTGCCTTGGCTTCCTCCTTCCCCAGGGCCACCTCGTGGAAACAGGTCCAAGCGGGCAGGGGATTGAGACCATCATAAATTAGTGACACTCCCGCCTAAATACAAATAATGCCTCAGCAAACACAATGGAGACCTTGGCTCCTCCACCAAGCGAAGAGGTAACATGCGAAATCAGGTAAATTCATAGAGCAGGTCCCCACCGGCAAGTCCAACATCCGGTCTGCCCATTTTGATTTTTGACAAAACCATTCTTCACTAGAAGATTCCATGGTTCCAAACCACTACTACCCTGAAAAAAAAATACTGTGACTGGAGGGGGGGGAGGGGGACACCTGGGTGGCTCAGTAGGTTGAGTGTCTGACTTCAGCTCGGGTTGTGATCTCACCATTCGTGAGTTAGCTCTACGTCGGGCTCTGTGCTGACAGCTCAGAACCTGGAAGCTACTTCAGATTCTGTGTCTCCCTCTCTCTCTGAACCTCCCCGCCTTGCTCATGTGCTCACACTCGCTCGCTCTCTCTCAAAAATAAACATTAAAAAAATTTTTTGATACTGTGACTGAATTTCTTCTCAAGTGACCATGCTATTACAACAGCAATCAAAACTTAGTACAGGTGGACATGTTTTGATCCATATAATATCTGTATATTTACATTAAATCTTTAGGTCACTGTAACTTACTAAATTCTTGATGGTTCCCTGCTCATGCGCTCTCTCTCTCTCTCGTTCTCAAAAATAAACAAAGATTAAAAAATTAAAAAAAAATAAATTCTCAATGTTAGTTTATTGTGACAATAAAAAACCCTCTGGAAATGGGTCAAAAAAGTCTAAAATAAGTACCAATTTTTTAAGTTTATTTATTTTGAAAGAGTGAGAGTGTGTGCACACAAGTGGTAAGGGGCAGAGACAGAGGGAGGGTGAGAACCCTAAGCAGGCTCCATGCTGTTACTGCAGAGCCCCACAGAGGGCTCAGTCTCATGAACCACGAGATCATGACCTGAGCCTAAATCAAGTTTTGGACACTTAACCAACTGAGCCACCCAGGCACCCCTCAAAGGCCTTTTTTTTTTTTTAATTTTTTAATGTTTATTTTGAGAGAGAGTGAGAGACCGAGCATGAGCAGGGGAGGGGCAGAGAGAGAGGGAGACACAGAATCTGAAGTAGGCTCTAGGCTCTGAGCCATCAGCACAGAGCCTGATGCAGGGCTCGAACCCACGAACTGCGAGATCATGACCTGAGCTGAAGTCGGACGCTTAACCGACTGAGCCACCCAGGCGCCCTCAAAGGCCTTTAAAGAGCAAAGGCTTGACATCAAACTGACACCAATGCCTCGAATAATAAAAAGAATGAAAAGATTTGAACATAGTTATATTTTTATTTTTTCAAAGATATAAGGTTTCCCACACCTGTCTATTTTTTGAGGTTCATGTAGTAGACAGCTCCCAAAACAGCTCCCAATGGCCCCCACTTCCTTCAAGCCCATATGAGATCCACCCCCTTACAAGAAGGAGAGACCTTGTGACTTACATCTGACACACAGAGGATGGCAAAAGTGATGGATGTCAGTTCCAAAACTGGGTTATAAAACCTGGCTTCCATCTTGCTCACACTCTCCCGTCCTCTCAATTGCTCAGTGATGGAGCCGGCCACCATGTCACGATGGGGGGAGACCCACATGGCGAGGAAGCCAGAGCAGCCCCTAGCCAATAGTTCCTAAGGGACTGAGCCCCTCACTCCATCAGCCCCTGAGGCACTGAACTCTCCCACAACCATGCTAAGTGAGGCCTGAAGCAGAGCCTTCTCCATTCCAGCTGAGCGGACTGCAGCCCCAGACAACAACCTGTTTGCAGCCTGCTGGCAGATCCAAAGAACCCAGAGAATTCCAGAGAACCCAGCTAAGCCACACCCAGATTCCTGACTCCAAGAAATGGTGGGGAAATAAAGCCACCAAGTTCAGGGATATAACTTGTTACCCAGTAATAGATAACTAACATGGTTCCCTTAGGGTGAGACCTAAACAAATGGGATTTGTTTCTTTTTTTTTTCTTTTCACAAAGTTGGTACCCAAGAAACACTGACAGGTGAGTTCATCCGGACCCAGGCACTCAGGGGCCAGTTCCAAGATGCTTAAGAAAAAAAGAAGCTGTGACATCAGCTTCTAGGCTACACTCTAAGCACACAGCATAACGACGACAGAATTATTTTTAATTAGATTAATAGGTCCTCATGCTCAAATCGACCTTTAGAAAATCAAAGAGATAAGTGATCATAAATGCATGCAGTTTAAAATATCTTTCTCCTTCTGGGGCGCCTGGGTGGCTTAGTCGGTTAAGCGTCCGACTTTCGCTTAGGTCATGACCTCGCGGTTCGTGGGTTCGAGTCCCGCGTCGGGCTCTGTGCTGACTGCCAACTCAGAGCCTGGAGCCTGTTTCAGAGTCTGTGACTCCCTCTCTCTCTGACCCTGCCCTGCTCACGCTGTCTCTCTCTCTCTCTCTCCTAGAAATAAATTTAAAAAAAAATTAAAAAAAAAAATATCTTTCTCCTTCTATCCCTAACATTACCACCAATCCCTGTTTTATTCTGTTCTCTTCCAGTGTTCAAATAAAACACCACAATGTGCATCTCAGGTTCTGATTATCTCCACAAAAAGGAACTAATAAATAAATAAAAAGGAATAAATAAATAACTGACTGCATGTTTAGGACAAAAACACTTAGAGATGAGCCTGGTCCTCACTGTCACAGAAAAATAAGGACGCTCTCAAAGACATCTAAAAGTATGGAGAAAGAACTGGTTCAAAGGGGCTCTTTGGACCAACCTGGGACCATTTGAGCAGCAGAACCAAAAGTCATAATTACAGTCAATTAGAGCAAGTCCGAACCATCCAAGGGCACTCATTCCTGATGATCAAACATTAAGCTCTCTTTCAAAAGTTCTCCCACTGACATGAATCCATTAATTCATGCTTGGTTCCAAAGAGACAAAGACATGACCCTTAAAGAATGCATACGTAACCACCCACCATGAGTTTTGGGAGGACCAAGAGAAATGGTTTTGTGATCTCATAATCAGTTTCAGAACCACTGGGATAAAAGGGGAGTAACACAAAGTCAAGGTGATCTGAGAGGAAACATGGTCTTTAGGGTCCTGGGAAGCTGAAGCTGGGAATGTGAATGACAAAGCAATGTCCTCCCCTGGAAGAGGACCAGCTAAGTAAGGCTGAGCGAACTTTGAAGTTAGTAAACATCTTTTCAAGAGCAGCATATGGGCTGCCAGTGTGCACTTCTCCTGGGGTGTTGAGGGAGGCCCCCTATAAAGGCAGGGGGTAAAAACACAGGTATGGAGAGCTCTTTTCTCATTCCTAGCGGCGGTTCACCCTGTTAGGAAGCTAAAGGTCCAAAAACATGTTGTATCTGCTCCTGATACAAGAGCATCTACTCTTCTGTTCAATTTCTACCTCCTTGGCTTAATGAGAAAGAAAAAAAATGAATGGTCTGTCCTCTCCCCCCCACCAATCCATACCCTGCCAAAATACTCCACGTACAAACTATTCACGTCTTTAATTTTAATAAAATTAGCACTCAAAAAAAAGAAAAAGCTGTTTCCATATTCACTACTCAACAGTGAACAAAGCCACCTAACTGCTCAGATCCTGTCAAAACTTCATGGTCTAAAACTTTTTCATTTTCGCCAAATTGAAGACAGGGAAGACACGTTAGCTCATTGATTTAATTCAGTCTAAAAAGGAGAAAAGAGGAGGAAAAAAACCAAAAATAATGTCTTGCAAATAACTCATACAAAAAACTATTTGTGGATTAGTAACTGGCAAGGGATAAGTGACAGCAATGCCATTTATTGGGTGTTTGTTTTGTGCCAGGCACCTAGCTTGACAATTTACAGGAGTTATCTCTGGCTCTTCGAGGCACTGGTGTGCCCAGTTTACAGATGCAGAAATAAAGTGGAACCTGCTTGGGATTCTCTCTCTCTCTCTCTCTCTCTCTTTCTGCCTCTTCCCCACCCCTCCTCAAAAAAGAAGAAAAACCAAAAAGAACCAAAAAGGAATATTCAAAAAAGGCAAATCTATAGAGACAGAAAACAGGTGAGTAGTTCCCTGGAGCTGGCGGTGGGAGCAGGGGTTTATAGCAAGTGGGCACAAGAGAATATTTTAGAGTGATGGAAAGATTTGAAAACTGGAAGGAGGTGGTGGTTTGTAACTCTATAAATCCTGGCTCCCTGCTTTTGATATGAACTGATAACAACGGCTCTGTCAGCACAGAGCCCAACACAGGACTCAGTCTCACAAACCACGAGATCATGACCTGAACCGAAATCAAGAGTCAGACACTTAACCAACTGAGCCACACAGCCAGCCCTAGATTTGCCTTTTCTGAATATTTCATGTAGTATATACTCTTTTGCGCCTGGCTACTTTTGCCTAGCATGTTTTGAGATTCATCAGTGTGGTAACATATATCAGTATTCCTATCTATTCCTTTTAATTGTTAGTAGTATTCCATTCGATGGATTCCCGGTTGATGGACATTTGGACTGTTCCCAGTTTGGGGTCTTCTATGAAGGACACTGCTGTGGACATTCATGTATGTACCTTTGTGTGGACGTATGTTTCTGTTTCTGTTGAGTATATTCCTAGAAGTGGACTTGCTGGATCCTACAGTATACATACGTGTATGTTAAACTTTCTAAAGAAACTGCCAAACTGACATCACCATTTTTTTATTCCCTCCAGAATCAACTAAAAATTTGAGATTGAATATTTGAGAAACTGGAAAGACTTCAGATCTGTGTTCCACTCATGCACCGGTGGCTGTATGTGTGTCAAACATTTTTCAGCAGCCTGACTCTGATGTGAAAAAAATTAAGTCTGTAACACTGTGGACTTGGATTCATTAGTCACCTTCAGGTTCTTAGTTACCCACCAGTCTGGCAGTGGACCTGGTAAGGCTTCTGAGCAGCTCTTCCCTGTGTAGACAACAGGGTAGGCCAAGAGAAATAACACTGACATTTTGGGATAAAACCGGCCAAATGATCCCCATTCCTCAATGGCTCCTCACCCTTTCACTAGTCTTCCTTTGTGACATGTGAATGTCCATTTTTCACAGTTGACTTCTAGAAGGTTACTTGGGATCTATGCCTGGCATACTCCCTGGGTCCCTCTGCATCATCTTTAGAATCTGCCACTCTTACCAATAATAAATAAGTGGAATTATCATCTTTATTTCCCCACCATTCAGGCAAATAAGAGCATCCAGCAAGACCACATCAAATGCAAAATCCCAGGACTCCAGCTTGTCCCCCTGGCCAACTGAACATAGCACTAGCAACCACCGCTGCATCTGGTTGTTATTAATCTAGTAGGAGGGGGACTGGGGGTGAGAAAGACCAAGCCATGGTTTTCTTCCTCTCCAAACCAACTTGAATCCATTTTATAAAATTTCATGAGACACTCTGGTTTCTAATATCTACATGGTACTGCCTCCCAGCCCCAATTCCGTAATGTGCTTGCAAATGCTATTACACTTGTCCAACATGGTTTGTTTTCAATAATCTCATAGCTTTTTTATTTATTGGAATGCCACGGACCTCTATATGTTTACTTATTCTTTGCTTCTTTATCAAGAGCACAAAACATCTCCCACCCTCCCTGCTCCAGAGCTCCATGTACTTGATTTCTAAATTAGGTAAAACAAGGAAATGGAGCAGAGGACAGAGCCCTGAGGCAAGGAAGAGTGTATGATGGAGGGGGTAGGAAGGGAGAAAAGATATTCCCAAATACTCTCCTGTTACAATGTGTAGCCATCTGGGTTTTTATCAGTTCTCACTTAGAACTAAATGTTTAAAACTAAACATTCCCTATGTGAACTCCCGAATGGCCAAATGTATCGTGTCAGCCGTTTTGTACTAAATCACTTTCTAAAAGCAGTTGCAGGGAATCAAGTCCCTCACATCCCCTCCCCCCCAAAAAAAAAAGAACTAAAAATCATCACCAAAACCCAGCCACCTAATTTTCCATTCATAACTGAGCTTAACATCAATGCCCCCTTGACCTGTGTCCACACACCAATGCCAACGCCAAGGCAAGTAATAGACAAGGCTTTCCTTTAGGCTAAAGTACTACTGTGCACCAGCCTACTACTCATTCCGCATACATCATCTTGTTTAGTCTTCACAAAATCCAATGAGGCAGCTACAGTTATCCTTACTTTACAGATGAGAACCCGGGCATCAGAGAAGTAAATGACTTTCCCAGGCTGGCATAGCTAGAAAGAGACAGAGTGGGATTCAAACCGATGACTTCACACACCAAAGCTCTTACTCATTTCTCTAAGTCAGGCTGCCTCCCTGAGTTAAACTCCCCAGGCCCCAACATAGTTGCCTTCTCTTCATCATCATCAATAAATATTTATGAAGGACCCACCACCGACACACCACTGCTCTTGTTTCCACAGCAACATGCTGTCAGAGAGTCATGGGAGTATCCCGTGCTTAAAGGAACAATGCTGTAATGTCCTGTGATCATGGCTCTGAAAGGTGACAGTTACACGACTGCAGCAGACTCCAGACTCCGTCTCCACTGGCAGCCAGGAGCCTGCAAGTGCTGTGCGAGGGATAAGCAAGAAGAAACTGAAGGGAGGAGAAAGGGACTGGGTTTTTACCCAAGAAAATAGTCTGCTTTCATCGTGAATGTGTTTGTGATTGTTGCTGAATCAGAATCCAGGCCAGGTTTGCACATTAATTGTTCTTTTATTAGGAAAGAAATCAAGCGATCCAGGAGAGAAAATAAAATTTGACTGTACTCCTAACAGTTCCCCAGAGATAACTGGCGATGATTATCGAGTTAAATGGCTACATCGCTAACAATTGCAATCTCAAGTCAGTCCCCTGTACGATCCATTTTCGCTCTCCATGTACAGATGCTGAAATCCTCTAGTAAATGGACTAATTATCCCCTTATCTGTTTTAGTTGTTTCTCTCTTGCCCCACCCAAATCATGTTTTGCCTCACTCTCAGGGAGCTGATTTCAAATGTTTTGGGGTGTGTTTTTGTTTTTGTTTTTGTTTACTACCATCCCTTACAAACATTATCCTGGCTCATGAAACACATCTTAGAGTAGGAAGAAAGAAAGTGCCTTTTGATGACAAGCTCTCGCCACTGACTTTTGGACACCATGACCAACATGTTACAGCAAAAAATATTATCCCAACCGTGTATTAGATGCAAGCTTACAAATTCAAAGTGCTTTTAAGACTGGGCACTTTCAGACTGAAAGAATTTGAAGAGCACACCACTGAGTTTTAAAATGCATTCTTTACCCAAACTTGCCAAAAGTTTTAAGTAAGATACTTTAAAGCAAATCAAGATATTGTCATATTTGTACTAGATTTGGATTCCAACAATTTCAGCATTTAGAAATAAAGAGGATAAGTCCATTTTTTTAAAAAAGACAGCATTTGCAGCATCCCCACATCTACAAATGTAGATGTTCATGAAGAAACCTGAGGGAAAAAATCGAATGTAAATGGTCTAAGGCGTTTTCATTAAACCAAAAAGGAGAGAAAAGGTATCTACAGAAAATCCCCATTTTTACAACTAAATGAGGCTTTCTCCCACACAAGCTAATCCCACTCGTTTAAGGAGCCTCTAGAACGAACGCAATCACTTGCTAAATATATGCCGTAGTACTAGATTTGCAGAAGTCACCAGGCTCAAGTAGAACCAAAAGAAACATACGGTGCCTTAACAGTAGATTTCTTCCCAAACCGTACTCTTGCGTTGCTTTTCTTTGCCGAATGTTCCAAAGAGCAAACAAAGAAAAGGTGCCGGCTCCTCACACTTCTCTAAATGTTTTAACAAAAGGCTGCTGAATAAACACATTACTCATTTAAAATTTGAAAAGAAGTTCTATTCCGGAGATGAAAGCAACTAGATTTGCATTTTAACAGTTGTGGGCGAGCGCCACCTGGCGGGGGACACCGGAGCCGGCGTGCTTTCTCGTTGGACCGCTTCCCCAGGCCGGTACGGCTTCACCGCACGCTTCCCAAGACCGGCTGGAAACCCGCGGCGGGATATTTTCGGTACTGATTTTTGCCGTGGGAACGTGAGTGCTGTTAATGCGTGGCAGGCCCGCCGGGCCCTGGAGGAAAGTGAAAATCTAAACCACGAAACACGCCCGGGTCCCCAGGACTGCCCCCAGCACCTTCCTTTTCTCCCTCCCTTAGCACACCTAATGCAGACCCAAAGCAGGAGAACCAGAGTTGCACACCATCTTTAGCACGGTGCCGTGCCTGTCCCCTCTTCTCTCACCGGCTAATCCTGCAACACACACCTCAAAGCAGCGCCCTCGTCACCGAACTTCCCAGCCACGGAAACAGGCTGCCCCTTCGCGGAAGTCCCATATGGAGTTCCCATTTTGCTGTGGCGAGAGAGACTCTAGTGCCTGTCCAATGGAGCGTCGCTCCGGCGCTTCCTAACCTCAAAGGCAACCTGTTTAAGGAGGTTACACTCCACCGCGTCTTGTGTCTTGTTTCTTTTCCTCTTTCCTTCTTCAAAATAATATACGGGCACCGCTGTTACTCAGCAATTCGAAACTAATCTTTTCCTACATCTCACTTGTTTATCTCAGCCTGTGCGTGCGATCTCAGCAACCTCCGGCTCCGTGTGGCCGCACCAAATCCAATCGGTGCTAAAAACAGACAAACTTCAAGGTGATTTTGAACTTGGAAGCATACCTGACCAGTCCCTCCCTTCTCTCCCTCCACCTACCGCCCCATCTTTAGCGACTTGGGGCTGGAAGTTGCATGCGGTGGGGGTTTGGTGATGGTTAAGACCCGGGAATGGTGGTGGTCCCCTACGCATGCCAACCTACCATTAGGGGCACACCAGGCCCCCCCCCAACATGAGAACGACCTCTGCTCACTTCCTTCCTACGGTCAAACCCAAAAATGAGTCCCCCACCCCCAAACTTTTCAGAAGCCAACAGGCTCAAAGGTCGAAGCCACTCCGGTTGAACGGCCTTAACTGCGGCGCCCATTTACTCTGGCTGAAAACCACGGGCTCGGGAGGAGGTAGTGCTGCCTCAGTCGTTAACAGCAACACCCGCACGGTGCCTTCAGCGGCTCACTTAAGCATCAGCTCAGGGGCGCGGCGTGTTTAGAGCAAGTCTGGAGCTGGCCGGCTCTCCCTGGAGAAAAGAAAAGCCACCGCCCCAGCAGCCTCGGCCTGCAGGCGACCCGTCCTCCCCACGAAAGGCGCGCGCTGCACCCCCCCTCCCGCATAAGCTGCAGGGAGCGAACGCTCCACCCCGGGCATCGACGCCGCTTCTCGTCCCGCCGCCCCAAACACTCCAGCGACAGATTCCGACAAGTGGGAGGCAGCAAGTGGAGACGTTCGCAACAACCACGAAAGTTACTCCAGCCCGGGGGCCCGCAGGAAAGTCAGGCGGGGAACTTCGCCAAACGCGGGCTGCCCGGGGGGGACGCGCGGGCCGGGGCGCGCAGGGACGCGGTCGCCCGCGCCGGCGACGGGGACCCGGCTGCGGCCCCCGGGACGCGCCCCCCGCCAACCCGCACAACTTTCTCCCCTGAGAGCCCCGCAGCGGCCGGGGAGCGAGCGGGGCCCGGCGGGCGTACTCACCTGCGGCGCTCTGTGCCCCGGCGCCGGGCAGCGGCGGCAGCTGCAGCCGCAGGAGCAGGCTGAGGACGACCGCGGCGAGGCTCGCCATCCGGGCGGCGGCGGGCGGCTCAGCCCCTTCCCGCGGGGGCCGGGGCCGGGGCCGGGACTCGGGCGGGCGCGGGGCGGCCCCGCATCGCCGGCGCGGCCGCTCGCAGGGGCTCCGCGACGCTCCCGGAGCCGGCGCCGCTGCGCTCGGAGCCGACGCGCGGCGCGAACTGAGGCGGGCGGCTGGGCGGGGGCGGGACGCGGGGGGCGGGGGGCGGCGTCCCCCGAGTCCTAACGCCGCCGCCGCCGCCGCCGCCGTCGCCGCCCGCCCGCCCGGCGCTCCGCCCGGGCCGCGCACACACCCTCGCGCGCACGCCCGCGCCCCGCACACGCCAGCCGCCGGCACCCGCCGGCTCCCCCGCGCACCCTCGCGGGGGCTGGTGGGCTCCCGGCGGCCGGCTCAGTCGCGTGCCCACGCGCAGCGCCCCCCGCGCGCCCCCCCGCGCCCCCAGGCGCGCCAGGGTCCTCGCCTCCTCGCCCCGCGCTGCGCGGCGCAGCCAAGCATCGTCTGCCCGGTTGGGGCGCAGGTACCGGGGGCGGTGGGGGGAGGCGGGAGAGAGCGAGCAGCAGCCGTGTGAACTCGGAGTGGGAGAACAGGTGAGTGGGGGGCGGGTGGCAGAGGAGGCAGGGAGGGAGCAGCCATCTCAACTCCGGATGGGGAGGGGGGTGCAGGTGAATGAGGGAGGGGTCATCTGCCCTAAGCTGGGGCGGGCATCTGCTGGCGAGGGGCTCCGGCACGCCCTGAGGGGAGAATTTCCTCTTAAGAGTCGACACCCTCACCCCACACACACACACGCACACGCTCCTCTGGGCGCAGCCCACGTCCTCAGCCGCCCAGGCACCCTTCTTATTCACCCACATCTCTCCCTGTCCCCACCCCCACGCGGGAAGGGGCGAAGACGGGGGCCGGAGGCATCCCTCTCTCGCCCACTGCCTTCCCCGCTTCCAGTTCTCGGGAGACAGAACCGTGTGGCTTTTTCCTTTTTCTTCCTGGTCTGAACAAAGACCTGGTTGGAAATGAAAGCCTAAAACCATAGATCAGAGTCCTAGCTGTCCCTTGCAGCTCACAGGCTGGCACCCTCTGCTCTCCTGGAAGCCAGGATTCATGGAGCAGACCTGGAACCACTCGGGTCCCGGCGGGGGGGGACGGGGACTGGACTGTAAAAGCTGGGGACAGGGACACCTAAGCAGTGCCCCAAGAATTCACTTTGTAACCCTGGCCCAAGCCTCCTTTCCGTCTCAGCACAGCCTTCCCCTCACCCCCTCCTTGCTGGGATTCTAAGGATTGGACTGGACAGATTGGGGCAGATATATAAAAGTCCTGCATGGCTAGGGGTTCCGAAAATGGGACACCTCAGGGTCTGGATTGAGTTGCTGTGGCAGAGAACACGGGGCCTCAGTCTCTCACACTCCCGGTTCCCACACCAGTGCCCAACCTTGGCACCAGGCTGCACCTCACAGGATGAACCCTCCGTGCTTTCCCAGCTGCCCTCCGCACCTGGAAACTGTCCCCTCTGTTCCTTCAGGAGTGCGTACTCTCACCTGATGCCAGACAGGGCTCTGCACACTATGCTTCTGCGGCTGCTGTTCCATCTGCCTGGAAGGCCCTTACCTGCATCATCTCCCTAGTAAACTTACACTGGTTCTTAAGGCTTCTCTGTGAAACTTTGGCTGAGAGCCCAGTGCTGACTGGAAAAAAGGGGCTGCTTTCCCTGTCTGCCTCCCATCAGCCTGGGATCTGGGGAAACGTGGCCACGTGCTCACCCTTGGCTCAGGGCTGAGCTCAGTGTCTGTACTGAAGAAAGCCGACTGGGGCCTGGGGTGAGCTTCGTGACAGCTGGAAATTGTGGGGTGACACTGCCCTGTAGCTCCTTTCACTTCCACTCAAGAAGGTGGCCTCCTGTCCTCAGGATGACTTTGCCTTTAAACCCCATGGGACCGCTGGGCCTCAGTTTCCCTGTCTACAATGGCTTCCCTTTCAGCTCTGTTGGGGGCCAGAAGCAGTTAGACATTTTAGCTGCAAATCTCTTAATCCTAACACAGTTTTAGGGGAAGCTTCAGCCATGGGGGACTCTTTCAACAAGAGAACTGGCTGCCTGATGTGTGCCAAGAATGGTCTGTGCACTCATGAAGTCAACAGTCTGGTGGGGAAAACTGGACAGAGAAAAGCGGTAAAGGGCCCAGAGATGCAGAGACAGCCACCCATCTCCCCAGCCCCCACCCTGCCCCCAGCGATGATCAGCCCCCCAGTGGGGAGCAGAGAATCAGGG